AATGAAATGATGAGTGTAAACTATCACTCAGTTCACAATAAAAATTAAAACAAAACAAAAACTCACTTGAAGCACTTGTGTTACAGCAACACTAAGTAACTGTGACACCTGGCAACACTTTGACCAGTCAGCTCTCCCTCCCTTTTCCTGTTCCCATTCCCATCCCTCTGTAGCCCACCCACCCAGGTTCCAGGCACTCCGGGGTACCTGGTGAGAAGGACAGCCACATCGTGATGGGCAGGGTTAAGGTCACTCTTGGGGTTGATGCTCTTTTGCCACTTGCAGAAGCTGGACAGAGTCTTCTCTGCATGATGCACTATTTTCAATCCTTGCTGGAAAAAAAAGGAGACATTATCATGGCTGCGTTCAATGCACCCAGGGTCCACTGCAATGGTGCTGTTCCCAGAAAATCCAAGAGAGATGAGATCAGGATCAGGCATTCAGTAGGAACATGGCAGAGGCCAACATACTCCTCAGGGCAATTTTTTGTTCTAAACTTTATTACAGTCACACCTTTAACTAAAAGAACCTGAAAGGGAGAACTCCAATACAGAATTTATCATTAGATAAATTTGCAAAGACCGATGTCTGTTTAAAGTTCTACTTCTAGTACCTTTCTGATTTCTAAGCTAATACAGTTGCAAAGGCATTTTTTTTTTTTTTTTTAATTTCTAATGCAAAGTGAATAGATTTTCACCAAAAAGCTTCTCCCTTTAATGAGATAATCTGTGAGACTGGGGTTGCACTGGATGCTTTCTTGACCATGATTCCATCTTGGTGCTTGTGGATGAAGGGTAATTGTTGTTGTTGTTCAGTGTCATAGATTCAGTTCTGAATCATAGTAACCCTGTATAGGGTTTCCAAGGAATGACTGTTGGCTAACAATGGTTAGCAGTCCAGTGCTCACCCTACAGTGCCATACCAGTGCTCCTGGATGAAGGGAAGGTGGTGATATACTTTCTGCAGACCTTGGTCTTTTTAGGATAATTGATCCTCTAATAATAATCAGGATGCTATAGTAGTAGATAAGGAGCTCTGGTAGTGTAGTGGTTACGAATCGGGCTGTGAACCGCAAGGTCAGCCATTCAAAACTACCAGCAGTTCTGCCAGAGAAAGATGAGGCATTCTGCTCCCATAAAGATTTATAGCCTCGGAAACCCTGTGCAGGGTCGCTATGAGTCAGAACTGACTCCACGGCACATAACAACAACAACATAGTAGTAGATGTCCCAGATTACAACTTTAAGGGCTTCTGAGACCCAGCATAGTCTGCTGAGAGACCCATCTTAGCCATGGCTCCTAGTGGGGAGGGAGGGGAGAATTTGTTCCAAATTAACTGGAGAAGGAAAAAGAGGTTATCAGGTCTAGAAGGATTCCAGTTTAATGTGGATTTCTCAAGGCTAGAAATCCCTTTTCCTTGGTCCATTTCTTCAAGGATATTTATAGTCTTGAGGTAGACCACTCTAAGCAAAGTTCCTTTTTGATGGACTAGAGAGATACAGATACTTAGTGGAAATGAGAAGGTACAAGAGCCAAACAGAAAATTTCAAAGGTCAGCTTGAGAAGATAAAATCAAATATTACAACAAAATATGTAAAGATCTGGAGTCAGAAACCCAAAAAGAAGAACAAGCTCAGAATTCCTCCAGCTGGGTGAACTGAAAAAAAGTTCAAGCCTCGACTTTCATTACTGAAGGATTCTCTGAGAAAATTATTGAATGATGCAGAAAGCATTAAAAAAAAATATGGAAGGAACATATGGAGTCACTGTACCAAAGGGAAATGATCAATGATCAAGAGCCAATGATACTGAAGGAGGAAGTCCAAGGTACATTGAAGGAATTGGCAAAGAACAAGGCACCAGGAATTGATGGAATAAAAATTGAAATCTTTCAAGAAAGTGAGGTGGCACAAGAGATACACACTCATCTCTGCCAAGAAATCTGGAAGACAACTATCTGGCCAACTGATTGGAAGAGATTTGTATTTGTGCCCATTCTAAAGAGAGGTGACCCAACAGAATGTGGAAATCATCGGACATATCCCATGTGAGTAAAGTTTTACTAAAGGTAATACAGAAATGGCTGCAAGCATATATTGACAGAGAACTTCCAGAGGTTCAAGCTGGATTCAGAAGAGGACATAGAATGAGGGATATCCTTGCTGATGTCTGATGGTTCTTGGCTGAAAGCAGAGAATACCAGAAAGATGTTTACCAGTGCTTTATTGACTACTCAAAGGCTTTCAATTGTGTGGATAATGACAAGCTATGGACAACATTGCAAAGTATGATTATTCCTGAACACTTACTTGTGCTCATGAGGAATCTGTACATGAACCAAGAGGTAGTTGTTTGAACAGAACATGGGAACATTGGTTTAAAAATAAGAAATGTATGTGACAGGGTTGTATTCTTTCACCATACTTATTCAAACTGTATACTGAGCAAATAATCCGAGAAGCTGGGTTCTATGAAGAAAAACGTGGCTTCAGAATTAGAGGAAGACTCATTAACAACCTGAGATATGCAGATGATACAACCTTGCTTGCTGAAAGTGAAGAAGACTTGAAACATTTACTGATGAAGATTAAAGAGCACAGCCTTCGATATCTTATCCCCATTTCCTTTCGTCAGCCAGGTCCCAACAGATTGGAAATCATTCAGTGGAGGTTCTGCCTACCCCTGCCCCATCTGGAACTAGGCTCCCTCTTGAAAGCTTGCAAGCAAGTCACTTCTTGCCTTTATAAGCCCCACTCCCCTACACTTTGGGTCTGAGCAATTTCCAGCTCCCCTCAAGGTATTCCAGACAGTTATAGGCTGAACACGGGCTTACATGTTTTCTGTTATGATGTTTCTGGCTATCCCCCCCTCCTCCAAGTGTCTATTTCACAATGGTAGGCAAGGGAAACCAAGATTCAAAAGACAGCCAAACATCCTAACATTATTCACCTCTTTTCCCCTTTCAAGCCATGCTTATATCCCTGTATTCTGAAGCCCTGTTATTCCAAGGTTATGCATAAATCGTCATTTACCTCTGTCCCATCTAGTTCATGCAAACCTGCCCAACCGTTCTCCCGTCTGCCTTGTTCTTCTTTCTCCTTCTTGTATATTGCCAGTCTCCCCCAACAGCAACCAGGCTCTCCTATATCTATTCCCTACCCTCTGCTCTTTCTTCCTCTCCCTCCCTCCCTTCTTCTCATCCCATACATCCCAGTGATCAGCAATTATATATAGAGATTTTTTTCCCCCCTTTTGTGTGGGTTCTTTTTCTTTGTCCTTTACAATAATGGTCTTATGCAGTATTTCTCCTTTTGTGACTGGCTAATTTCACTCAGCATAATGTCCTCAAGGTTCATCCATGTTATGGAATGACTTGTAGCTTCCTTGTAGCTTCAAGGTAGCAGAGTATTCCATTATGTGCATGTACCACAGTTTGTTTATCCATTCTTCAACTGATGGGCATTTTGGTTGTCTCCATTTTTTTGCTACTGTAAATAGTGCTGCTGTGAACATTGGTGTATGGCTCGTATTTCTTGTGGGTAAATATCAAGTAGAGGAATTGCTGGGTCATAAGGTATTTCTATTTTCAATCTTCTGAAAATGTGTTACATTGCTTTCCAGAGTGGTTGGACCATTTTGCATTCCCACCAACAATGTAGTAGGGTCCCAGTATTTCTGCATCCTCGCCAGCATTTGCTGTCCTCTA